GCCTGACGGGTGTACTCAGAAGAAGCCTGCAAAGGTATCAGATGCATTAGTATTCTGTGGAATATCAAGTAAACTGAATTGAATAACTGTACAAAATGCAGTAGAACATACCGGCGGAAGGTCGGGGATGTCAGTGAACTCATGCCCAGCCGGTGGAGGGGCGAAGGGGATCTGATAGGTCGACCCACCCTGCCCCTGGAAAGTCAGTACAGCGGGCAGGGCAGGCCAGCCAGCTCCTCGTCCTCCCTGCACTCTGCCCCTACCACGGACCCGGGCCCTCCTCGAAGATCCAGCCCCTGCTCCCGCTCCGGCCCCAGCCGCCGATGCTACAGGCCTGGCCCCCCCTGCTCGACGGCCGCTCAAAGGTCGCATCAGGTACGTCCGCACGTACTCCTGATAGTCGCCGGTGCCTCGGAAGCCGGCCTCCTCCCAGCCGATGGAGTAATCATCCAGCTGCTCAGGGGTCAGCCCCTCGGTCTCCCTCATCTCTGCAGGAGGGTGAGCCGGGACTATCTGCTCAGGTAACCCGCGGGTCTGGCGTAGAAAACGCTCCCCCAGGTACCAAGCCCGACAGACCGGGCCCTCTAGCAAGATCCGGAAACGCGAGGTCTCCTCAGCACCAGGGAACCGACCCCGCATCGCCGCCGGCAAGGAAGCCCATGGCCGCCAAGTGATCTAAAAATGACAGACAGTTTGTTATCTACTGTTATTGAAATATGCAGTGGCAAAGCGAAGCTAAATGAACTGAAAGTAAAGCATACCTCGGCCGGAGTGATGGTGTCGAAATATCGGCGGAAGAAGCTGAACGTCTCCGGTGGTCGCCGGGTGCATCTCCCGTCAAAGCGACTCGAGAACGGGACAGCCGGAGGAGGCTCCGCGACTGGCACAGGTGCAAGCCTAGGGAAGTAGGCGTAAACCCACAACTGCAAAACAGATGTCAGTATGACCATCAGAAAAAGCAGAACATACAGAATGAAGCAGAAATGGCAGAGTCGTGCGTTGTGTTTTGTATTGTGTGTAGTGTACAGTGTGAGCAGTGTACAGTCAGTGTAAAGCAGAATGTATGTGTGTGCCGTGTGTACAGTATACAGCAAGCGTAAAGCAGACCACAGTGTGTGCAGTGTACGGAGTACAGAGAATATCGGACAGAAATGAAAAGCGGAGAAGAAATGTACCTCCCAAGCCCGCCAGTAACCTCCGAGCAGCTGGCCGCTGCCACGAGAAGCCGAGCTCATATATCCGTACAGGGTGGCCAGAGCAGCGCCGCCCCAATCGTAGTGCA